TTTTTTTTTGCATTTTTACGTGTTTGTACGATGTGTTGCCTCCTCTGTTTTTCATGTGTGGTGTGCTTGCTTGCGTTGAGGTTAACATTGCTGTTCCGCAAGGAGGTTATGCTTCGTGTTCGACACAGTACTTAAGGTGCGTTTAGTGTGCTCTGTAATGAGGTTAACTTTACTATTCCACATGGAGGTTAAGCTTATTGTTCAATACGGTCCTACCAATTCATACGATAACTACGGTTGATTAACTTGTAATACACGCTGTATTAACCCTTTTATCCATGCCTATCCTTATGCTTCAGTCTCGTTGAGCGTGTCGTCTTCCACAGCTTCGTCTTCGAAGAACTTCTTGCGCACAAGAAGGCGGCGCTCCGTTTCGAAAGCAGCAACAACAGAGGCATGGAGGTGATGACGCGGCTCCCGCGTTGGCTCCCAATTAACAAGGTAGAACGTCTCTCGGTTCTGGCGCTTCCAATTTAGCAACTTGCGGACGTAGTGCTTCTGCTCGCCCTCTGTAGCTGCGTCTTCGGGCTCAGCAGGAGGTGGCTCGACCAGCCACTCGCGTACGTCCTTCAGGCACGTGCGGCGAGAATTCCTCTCGGTCAGTGAATCGCAAATGACGTCGATGGCTTCAGGCAGCAGGGCGGCGGAGGCTACAGTCGTGTTCATGGTAAGTCGCAGAGGGCGGATTGCCTCATCGCTAATTCGAAGCTTGTATTTTTTTTTGATGTAGCAATGCAGCACGACTTGAACTCCTTGTAAGAGCTGACGGTGTTCTTGGTGGACTTGATCGATGGCATGAAGACGGAGTTCTGTGTGTTTGGGTGCGGATTTCAAACTGAGCGGCAGCACACGTGGGCGCTCGATTGCAGAAGCATTGACTGGACCACATGAATAGGTAACATTGTTTTTATTTACTTACTGAAAACTAGCTCAAATACGTTTGTCGTATGTGGAGGGGCTGGATCAAGAATGTGACCTGAAGCTTGGAGTTGCTGATAGCGGAGAATGTACTGGTTTAGACTGCCATCTTTGTGAAGTTTGTGCAAGGACTTCAGGATATTCTGCGCGCCACGGGCTGCGATGTAGTGCTGTTTCAGGAACGTCAACAGCGCGGTTTCGGCACTCTCACCAATCGTCAGAACATCGTCACGATATTGCGGGGAACTCTCAACAAGTTTGAAGCCGCCTTCGAGCAGCAAAAGAATTGGTCAAATATGTAGCCAATAGAAAAGCTTCAGAAATATTACTTCATAAGAATACTTAAGAAACCCTATTTCTTTTTTCTGTCGATCGCGCATGCTTAGTCCCTGGGTCAGTTGAACTCCACATCCGCGGTTCTTGAGTGTACCAAGTGAACCAAGCGTCTTTCAAATTTGAAGCCGGAGAGGTACGTCGTCGCTTGCGTGGTTGATAGCTATTTTTACATGCTGCGGTGCTGGTGTCGGTGGATGTTTGTTGCAGATCTTGGCTTCCATCCCAGACAACCGCATCTAGGGCATCTAG